AACCGGCGCACGAAAGTGCACGGTTAATGGTTGTAAAATCTGAACTGAAACTGTCTTATTGTCCTAGTCAGACGAAAGAAGGTACTCATTCCCATCGACGACGTTTCGTTCTGATAGTGCGTTGGACAACGTAATTTCGGTTCAGTTCGATGTGACAGAAAATATGGTTAGAAAAGCAACAGTTGTAACTGAACCAGTTCACTATCCGTACGCTTAACATTTCAAGCAAATCAGTTTGGCAATCGGTCCGAGTGTGGAATTTTGCGAAGGATATCGAAACAATCAATCAACAGAGTTGCACCGTCATAAATTACACTCTAGTGTGCACAAATCCAGATGAGTAAGCTGGTATTTGTTAGCACTATCACAGATACATGGGAACAGTTTGGATACCAAGTACATTACTTGATCGTGCGGTCAATGATTGAAGTAAGCCAACGATTTCGAAACAGAACACTTAAGGGCTTAGATGACAAGGTCCTTTGGAGGAGGGCGGCTGTGATGTACAATGGGGTCGCATCATTTGTGCTGCATTGAGAGCATCTTTAAATCTGTGATCTAACAGAAAACAAGTGACTAATCATCTTGCCTCAGTCCGTATTGTTCATTCGGTCGTGAATGGGGTGAATGGTCAAATTTATTGCCGTTTGAAGTGCAATAATTCACCCAAAGAATGATAGGTTAGTAGCTAGCCAGTGTATGGAAACATTCTTGACTGATTCAGAGTTCGTTGAGTACAACCTATGCATTATCCATGCCTATTAGACTACTGAACGCCGATAAGCGCGCTAATTGTGCTTTTTAGGATTTTGACACACTTTCGATAACCAGGAGCCGGAGGGAGACCAGAATGAGTGCATTCAAGTCAAGTCAAGTATTTGCCTTATGCACCCGGAAAGGTGAATATTTAGTAGCCAAATAGTCAACCAACAATCAACAACAAAAAATTATAACAGAATTGGGGTAAGCAAGGAGAAAAGAAAACAATTTACGAGATGAGTGAGTTAAGTTCCGAAGTGATGCGGTCTAGGCTGACAAGAAAACGGGCAAGGTAGGGCATCACAAAAGACCGATAGGCGGTCGTATGAGCAAATATACAATAAGAGCGGAACCGGGTGGAAGAGGAAAACACACGCTTGATAAGATCTTGGTATAACGGATGTGAAGGGCTGTCTATGATTTTTGTTGATAACGAAAAGCATAACTTTGTATGTTATGAAACGACGAAGTGACGGAGAATTTAACGGGAAATCCCGCTACTTCTAGATAAATGTGTTAAGGATCTGGAAATTTTTCTAAAGTCCTTCTTGAGCATCCCTGAAAAGGTTACTGGGGACCCGTACAACCATAGAGGCAAAACACAAACAGAAAGAAAACGTTTAATCAAGAAGCTAGGGACGGATAGTGTTTTCAGTCGTAATACATAAAATTATAGTTTCCAAACCTTTCGAAATACAGAAATAACTTAGTCAGACCAGCTTAAATTTCGGTTTAATAACACATCAAGATATTTGGCATTTAGGGGTTGGATAATAGTAACATCGCTTATGACCAATGTGGGACAGGAATCCAGGAGATTGGCATAGCGATTCCCTCTACGAACGGAGTACCGCATATCTACGCATTTAGAGGGATTGAGAGTTGAGTTATGCTCAGTGGACCACTCAGCAAGGTTAGTAAGGCCAAGTTGGAGGATGGGGTGACAGATGCATCAGCGTGTGCGATTCCGAACACAACATCGGCCGCATATTTAATGAGTAGGGAATTTTGAAAATATAAATATAATGTAAGTAGAAAAGAAAAACGGGAATAGAATGGCACCCTGTAATACGCCCTGTGTAGAAATTAAGGAAGAGAAGGAACGACCAAGATAACGTGTGATCTGTGATCGATTTGTAAAATAGTTAATGAGTACCGCAGTTATGGTTTGTGATATTCCACTGGAAGACAAAATGTTTAACAAATTAGACCTATCAACACAATTGAAAGCGTCAGTGTAATCCAAAAAACAAATTCTGCATTGGCAGAACCACTATCATCCGCACATCTGTTAACCTTCAACGATGACGACATCATGATGCACACAAATTCGTCACTGGTCGCTTATTTGTATGCCATTTCCCTCATCCTTGTTTTTGTGAGATAAATTCAGTTTCTGATTGTGCTATAGATGAAAATCTTTTACAGACGTGTAAATTTGAGGTAAACAACACGGTTTTGCACACAGTGAATGCTGTTCAGAAAAATTGATTACGCATTCTTTTAAATTGTTGTTTTAGTAGTGGAATAGATGTATTTGTCAATGGATCATGATAACATGGTTGATTCGAATCACAGTGATTTGTATTATGCCTCGAGTTATAACTACCCCCGTTGTGTGATGAATCCTTGGGGGCGATCACCGCCAAAGTCACAACGACCAGCTTCATTGAGAAGGATGCATTTGTGGAGCTATAGGATTCGTGGTTTGTTATTAGTCAATGTTTTTTTCTGGTCCCCTAGATGGGCTAGGAAGCGAGAACCGAAGGGGGAAAAACTGAGGATAGTCAGATGTTCGTTCGCATGACATTAATGAGAATCAAGTTGCACTATACCCCTTTCTCACACGCACGCTTCTACTCGCATAGAATATCTGTGAGCTCGCCTGCGTTCGTTTACTTTTACGATATCGGCCCATTGTCCCACAGGAGATTTCCTTCTCAAAGATAACTCTTTTTCTCCTAGCATCAATATACTCAGTTTTGGAAGCTATGAGTTTGTTATAATATTTCTAACGTTCACACTCGGACGAGATGAAACGAAATTCCTCATGGCTGAAATCTATATGGACATTAGGATGAAGAAGGAGTGGTAATTACAATGTTAATTCGATAAATAAATAAATTATACGTATTATACGATCAATTAATCGATTTTCGCAAGTCGCAAACACATCACTAACAAGTCAGGTATGATAGGTTGTTTCAAATCGTCGAATTCACAAACGCTGTTGCAAAAATTTAATCCGACTCGATGATTCTCAGCTTGGACTATAGTCAAATTAACAGTGTATATATAAATATAGACAGATAGATAGATAGATAGATAGATAGATAGATAGATAGATAGATAGATAAACAGACTGATTAGATAGATAGATAGATAGATAGATAGATAGATAGATAGATAGATAGATAAATAGACACGGATCCAATGAGAGATAGATAGAATGATAGATAGAAATATAAGTCGATAGATTGATAGATACGTAGATAGATAGATAGATAGATAGATAGATAGATAGATAGATAGACACCGACAGATCGCTATATAGATAGATAGATAGATAGATAGATAGATAGATAGATAGATAGATAGATAGATAGATACTAGATAGATAGATAGATAGATAGATAGATAGATAGATAGATAGATAGATAGATAGATAAAAAGATAGGATAGATAGATAGATAGATAGATAGATAGATAGATAGATAGATAGATAGATAGAGATAGATAGATAGATAGATAGATAGATAGATAGATAGATAGATAGATAGATAGATAGATTGATTAGATAGATAGATAGATAGATAGATAGATAGATAGATAGATAGATAGATAGATAGACAAAGGATAGATAGATAGATAGATAGATAGATAGATAGATAGATAGATAGATAGATAGACAGACATTGAGATAGATAGATAGATAGATAGATAGATAGATAGATAGATAGATAGATAGATAGACAGATAGATTAAGAATAGATAGATAGATAGATAGATAGATAGATAGATAGATAGATAGATAGATAGATAGATGAGCTCACCGAGATTAATACTGTGCTGCATGTGTATTTTCGTGCTGCAGATACGACAAAGAAAAGATGATAAAATTTCAAGGTACAGTTTTTGGTGCATCTAATTCGGCCGAAAAACTGAACTGACTGTCAGTGGTTAAG